CCAAAAAAAAAAAAAAAACAGAACCCCAACAGGGTCTGGACACTGCCACTGGCCCCCACCTCAGCCAGTCCCTGCTCATGGGCACATGCATGCCTGGCATACTCAGGTCTCTGGACTTGAACCAGGAGCTTTCTGATGTGAGCCAGCTTCATAGAGCATCCGTTTTACTGACATGCCACTGTCCAGCCCCTGGTTGTTAAATAGAGGGGTAACATTCCAGTTGCTGAACAGTCACAACCCCCGACCCCGGAGTCCCTCAGCCCTTTCCCTGTGACCTGCAGGTTCTCAGGCCAAACCAGCAACTGCAGTGTTAATATGTGACCATGCTTGGGGCCGGCAGGTGGCATGGTGGGTTAAGGGTGCTGGACTCCCACATGGCCATCCACAGTTCGAGTCCCAGACCTGGCGACTTGCTTTCTCACCACCCCCTCTGTTCCTCTATGGTCAAATCAAAATAAAATAAATAAATAAAGATAAAATATGTGACCATACTCTTCCTGTGGCTGAACACATGTGTATATATATAAACATACATGTACACGTGCACATGCACATATACACATCTGTGGGACAATGGAAGAAAAGCACAAGTTTACTTTGGTACTAAAAAACTTGAAATCTTGGGGCCAACAGATATATAGTGGTTACATTGCTGGACTCCCACATGGCTGACAGCAGTTTGAGTCTTGGATCCGGTGGCTTGAAACTCATGCCAGTACATAGGTATGCGTGCCCAAGGTCCTGGGAGGAGAATGGAGAAGGGATTGTGGCGTGGCCATCCCCCTGGGGGGTGATTTCTTGCTGTCTCTCTGTCTCTCTGGCGAGTACATGTGCCCTACAGCAAAAATCTCTCAAAAAAGAAAAGACAAGACCCATGTAATCAGGTCCCCAGCAGGACAGCATTGCAGCAGTAACTCTGCGAGGCGGTACCACGTGGGACAGTCTCCTGTTCAAGTCTGGGGACCCCCCTGAGTAGGCCAGGCATGCGTACCCATGACCCATGGCTGGCTGAGGCTGGGGTGGCCTGCAGAGTTAAGACCCTGTTGGGGTGCTGCATCTGTCTCTCTCACTCATGGAAGAAATTTTAAAAGCAGAATAGGGCCAGCAGGTGGCGCAGTGGTTATGTTATGTTCAAGGGCTGGACCCCGTGGCTGGTAAACGTGCCACACACATGTACATTCGTGCCCAGGATCCTGACGGGATGGAGAAATGGAGGAGAGGGGATTGTGGTGTGACCATGTCCCATTGGGGGTACTTTCTGAGGACTCCGCACATGCCGGGTGCTTAATAAATAACTGAGTTGGTGCCCAGAGAAGGGGGCAAGTGATTGAGTGGACGCCCTTTCCTCCCCGCAGAATGACGTTCTCACGGGCGTGTTTCCTGCCAGCCCCCTCAGCTGGCTCTTCCTCTTCAGTGCAATCCAGCTTGCCTGGTCGGTCCAGCTGGACCCTTCCCTAGGACTGATGGAGAAGATAAAAGAGTTGCTGCCAGATGGGTGAGGACCCCTTCAGCACAGTAACCTTCCTCGGCTCTCCCCTCTACCCCAGAAGGCTCATTAGTGTGGTGTGCATGCTAAAGAAAATAACCTGTGGGACCAGCAGTTAGCGTAACGGCTATGCTGCTGGACTCCCACATAGTCAACTGCGGTTCAAGTCCTGGACCCTGTGGCTTAAACTCACACTGGGCGTGTGTGCGTGCGTGCCCAAGATCCTGAGAGGAGGATGGAGGAGAAGGGATTGCGGCATGACCATCCCCTCTGGTGGGGGGGTGATTTCTCGCTTTCTGTCTCTTTCTCTCTCTCTGTCTTTCTGGTGAACACACGCGCCCTATAGTAAAAAATCCTCTCTAAAAAAAAAAGAAAGAAAGAAAGAAGAAAAGTAACCTGTGAGACTTACTTTAAGTCAGATTAATAAAGGTACACTGGGACCAGCAGTTGGTGTAATGGATATATCTCTGGACGCCCATGCAGTCGACCATGGTTTGAGACCCGGACCTGGTGGCTTAAACTCACGCCAGGTGCATGTGTGTGTGTGCCCAAGATCCTGAGAGGAGAATGGAGGACAAGGGATTGCAGCATGGCCATCCCCCCGGGGGGGTGATTTCTCGCTGTCTCTCTGTCTATCTGTCTTTCTGGCGAGCACACATGCCCTACAGCAAAAACCTCTCCACAAATAAGTAAGTAAGTAAATAAATAAAGATACAGCAGCTAAGGCCAGCAGGTGGCATGGTGATTAAGGGCCATGGACTCCTACATGGCCGGCTGCAGTGTGAGTCCCGGACCTGGTGGCTTGCTTTCTCACTTTCTCTCTCTCTAGTCAAAATAAAAAATAATAATAACAAATGGAAATAAATGATTCTTTAAAATAAAATGGTGCAACATCTAGAAAAAAAGGAGGTGGTTTTCGCTTTTCTCTCTCTTGCTCTCTGCACTTTTCTTTTTTGAGAGAGAGATTTTTGCTGCAGGGCACTAGTGCTTGCCGGAAAGGCAGAGACAGAAAGCAAGAAATCACCCCCCACGAGCACGGCCAAGCTACAATCCCTCCTCCTTCATTCTCCTCTTGGGATTTGGAGCACACATACACGTGAGTGCTCAAAATCAGTGTGAGTTTTTTGTTTGTTTGTTTGTTTTTCGAGAGGTTTTCACTATAGGGCATGTGCACTCGCCAGACAGACAGAGACAGAGAGACAGAAAGTGAGAAATCACCCCCCAGGGGGGATGGTCACACCACAATCCCTTCTCCATTCTCTCGGGATCTTGGGCACACAAGCACACACGCCCGGTGTGAGTTTAAGCCACCAGGTCCGGGACACGAACCGCGGTCGACTACGTGGGAGTCCAGCGACATAGCCATTATGCTAACTGCTGGCCCCAAAATCAGTGTGAGTTTTAAGGGTCTGGAACGCAAAGTGTGACCGACGACATGGGAGTCCAGCGACATAGCCGTTATGCCTTCTGCGGTCCCCTCTGCACATTGTCTGTGCTGCCTGCTTCTTACTGAGTAGGATAGTGACAAACGACATCGATGTCCAGAGATGGCGACATGTACTAGGAGGAGCAGGAGCCCTGCCAGTCTAGTCGTGTAGCTTTGGACCAGAGACACCACCTTTCTTGATTTCAAGCCTTCGTCTGTAAAACGGAGGTCATAATGATTGTTTCTTAAGGTGGCTGGGAGAATTCATCAAAATCACACGTGGTGGGCCCAGCACATGGCATAAGGACTCCCATATGGCCAGCTGCAGCTGGAGTCCCAGACCCAGAGGCTTTTAAATCACGGCGGGCGGGTGTGCATGCGTGCCCAAGATCCTGAGAAGAGATGGGAATGTGGCGTGGGCCTCTCCTCCTGGGGGGTAATTTTCACTTTCTGTCTCTCCGGCAAGCACATGCACCCTATAAAAAAAAACTCTAAAAAAAAAAAAGAGAGAGAAAGAAAGAAAGAAAATCACACATGTGAAATATTTAATACAGGAGCCGACAGGTGGCATAGTGGTTAAGGTACTAGCTCCCAAATGGCTGACTCCACGGTTCGAGTCCAGGATATAGTGGCTTGAAAATCATGTGGGGTCAGGACCAGCAGTTGGCGTAATGGCTATGTTACTAGACTCCCACGTAGTCAACCGCGGTTCGAAACCCAGTGACTTAAACTCATGCCGGCACATGTACGTGGGTGTCCAAGATCCCAAGAGGGGAATGGAGCAGAAGGGATTGCGACGTGGCCATTCCCCTGGGGGGGTGATTTCTCGCTTTCTGTCTCTCTGTCTTTCTGGTGAGCGCATGTGCCCTATAGCAAAAACCTCTCTGGGACCAGCAGTTAGAGTAATGGCTATGTCGCTGGACTCCCATGTAGTCGACTGCAGTTCGCGTCCCGGACCCAGTGGCTTAAAACTCACGCTGGGCGCATGTGCGTGCGTGCCCAAGATCCCAAGAATGGAGGAGAAGGGATTGCAGCGTGGCCATCCCTCCTGGGGGGTGATTTCTTGCTTTCTGTCTCTCTGTCTTTCTGGTGAGCACACATGCCCTCTAGCAAAAACCTCTCAAAAAAAAAAGAAAGAAAGAAAAGAAAAAGAAAAAGAAAAGAAAACCATGTGGGGCACATGTATACATGTGCTCGAAATCCTGAGAGGGGTGTGGGGAAGGGACTATGGTGTGGCCATCCACCGTGGGGAGCAATTTCTCACTTTCCCTCTCTCTCTGGCAAGTGCATGTGCCCTATAACAAACTAAAAAAAAAAAAGTTCTCTTATCCATCCATAGTGACTAGGTGACTAGATCCCATATGGCCAACTGTGCAGTTTGAGTCCCAGACCTGGTGGCTTAAAGGACTCTCTCTGTGTGTCTCTCTCTCCTGCTTGTAGCTTTTATCTTGTAGCAAAACTTAAAAGAAATTTTAAAACTGTATCAATTTATTGGGACCAGCAGTTGGCGTAATAGCTATGTCGCTGGACTCCCATGTAGCCGATTGCAGTTCAAGCCCCAGACCCAGTGGCTTAAACTCACACCAGGCGCGTGTGCATGCGTGCCCAAGATCCCAGAGGAGAATGGAGGAGAAGGGATTGTGGCGTGGCCATCTCCCCTGGGGGGTGATTTCTCACTTTCTATCTCTCTGTTTCTCTCTGTGTTTCTGGTGAGCGCACATGCCCTATAGCGAAAACCTCCCCCCGCCCAATAAAAAAGATCAATTAAGAGAATCGGCAGAGCATGTCTAGGGTTTAGTGCCTCCAATCTTGCAATACTGAGTGGGAGGGGTGCACAAACCTCTGGAAATCCCCCACTGTGGGAATGGCCCCAGGAGCCAGCAGGTGGCAGAGGGGTTAAGGTGACAGCACACGGCTGACAGCGGTTTGAGAGAGAGCGGCACTGACATAGTGGTTCTGTTGCTAGACTCTCATGTAGTTGACTGCAGTTTGAGTCTCGGACTCATGCCAGGCTCATGTAGGTGCGTGCCCAAGATCCTGAGAGGAGAATGGAGAAGGGATTGTGGTGTGACCCTCCCCTGGTGAGGTGATTTCTCTTTCTGTCTCTCTGTCTCTCTGTGAGTGCCCTACAGCAGAAATCTCTCTCTCCCTCTCTCTTTTTTTTTTTTTTTTTTTTTTAAGAAAGATTGTTTTGCTATAGGGCTCATGCACTCACCAGAGACTCCAGGACTCAGAGTCCGGGACTCGAACCACAGTCGACTACATGGGAATCCAGCAATGTAACCCTTACACTATCTGCTGGTCCCACAAAAATCTCTCTTAAAAAAAAGAGAGAAAGAAAAGGAATGGCCCCAAGACACTTAGGAGCTCCCAGCTGCAACCTGCAGGGACAAATGGGGAGAAGAGTTCAAGGTAGAGAGTATACCCGTGTACCCACAATATTTTAGAAACTCGGTGGGTGGCTAAAGATCACACCTACTTTACACGTAAGAAGGGACTTCTCTGACTTCAATGCCAGCCATGTCTGCCTCCTGCAGCCTGAGGGGCTGTGGCGGAGACAGGCCTGGCCCCTCTTCCTCTCCCCAGGGGTGGACAGTACCACATGCTCCGAGGGGTCCTGGCCGGTGCACTCTTCGCCTCCTGTCTGTGGGGAGCTCTGATCTTCACGCTCCACGTGGCCCTGCGGCTGCTTCTGTCCTACCACGGCTGGCTCCAGGAACCCCACGGGGCCATGTCCTCGCCCACCAAGACCTGGCTGGTATGTGCAGGGTGGCGGGCCTGGCGGGGGGGGGGGGAGGGAGGGCACGTCTCTGTCCCTGTAAGTCTCTGCTGCCCCCTTTGGGTCTCCGCCCCTCTCTGGGGCTCTGTCCCCCTCTCTCTGGGTCATCTTCCCACCGGCTCTGAGCCCCCCACTATGTTTCCGTTCCATTCTCAACCCTCGGCCTGGTCTCGGCCTCAGTTGGGATCTGATGACCCGTTAACTCCCTTCCCCCAGGCCCTGGTCCGCATCTTCTCCGGCCGCCGCCCGATGCTCTTCAGTTTCCAGCGCTCGCTGCCGCGCCAGCCCGTGCCCTCGGTGCAGGACACCGTGCGCAAGGTGGGCCCGGGACTCGAGGCTGGGGCAGGGGCGGACCCGGGACGAGTCTCCCCGCTTCTCCGCCCTCCCTTTCAGTACCTAGAGTCTGTCCGGCCCATCCTCTCCGAGGAGGACTTTGACTGGACGTCGGTCCTGGCGGAAGAATTCCTGCGGTTGCAAGCGTCGCTGCTGCAGTGGTACCTGCTGCTCAAGTCCTGGTGGGCGTCCAATTACGTGAGTCGGGGCACTGAGGCACCGCCCCTGACACGCCCACAGCCCCCAGGACCTGCAGCGATTGGATCCTCGCCTTAGGCTTGCCGGCATTCTGAGCCCCGCCTCCATGGTGGGTCTGGGCGGGCTCAGATGCGCGGATGTTCTGAGCCTCGCCTGTATCCGGCCGGGTCGGGACCCGGATCCCAGGCGCCTGGCTGCTTGTCAGCCCCGCCCCCTGCTGGCCGCGCTCCAAGCCCCGCCCCTAGGATCGTTAGCGTTCTCTCCTCCCAGGGTCAGAGACGCTTGGCTTGCCCGCAGTGGGCTTCCACTCTGAGCTCGGGAGTTAGGCCCTTGATTGCACTCAGTTGAGCTCCCTGGGAGGCAGGCCCAGAGCGAGTCTGCCGTCCACCCACAGCAAGGCCTGGCGGCTGGTGTTCTCTGAGAAACCATAAACAGCATGGAATGGGTGGGGGTGATGGAAACATGGGCGGTGTGGTGTGAGTGTGGGGAATGGGCACACAGCTGGGAGAGAGGATCAGGATCCTGGGGTAGAGGACTTAAGGCTGAGCCTTGAAGGTTGCAGAGACCTTAAACCCAGGGGTTGCCAGGAAGGGTGTCACAGGGAGAGGACTCGTGAAGAAGTAGGGGAGCTTTGTACACAGCTCCCCGGCTGAATTGAAGAAGAGCCTGAAGGGTGGTCGTCAGGAGAGGGAGTCAGGGAGCAGAGGCTGGACGGACTTCCAGGCTGAGGTTCCTAGACGTTTCTCAAGGGTGCTAGGGAGCCATGGGAGGATTCTGGGCAAGGGGGGCTGGGGTGATTGCTGGTGTGGAGAGACTGGAGGTTGGGAGGTAGGAGAGGAGGCTAAAGTAGGGTCTTGGCTGGGGCTTTGGGAGCGAGGGGTAGGAGGTGGTGAGGAGGGCACTGTGCGGCTCTCCCTGAGGTACAGAGCCTGGAGAGGTGATGCTGAGCTCCATGGAGGCAAGAGTGACAGGCCTGGGGATTATCCGTCCGGGAAGACGCTCCTGGGCGGCCGGACAGTGCATGTGTCTGGAAGGGAGCGTCCTTGGCAGGACGGCGGCTGGGCCTCAGCGGTTGCAGGTGACTGAGACGTTGAGCTTGGAGAGAGTGTGAGGGGAGACTGAGGGACAAGGAAGAAGGTCTGGGCATTCCCAGGGGGCCAGCAGCGTGGGGGAGAGGACGGATGTGATGGAGGGATAGGCCTGTGTCTACACGGGTACCGGGCAGCCAGGCCTCGGGTTTCTGGGCTCACAATTTTGTTTCCTTTGTGTTCGTGGATCAGATACTGCTCTTTAAGAACACATACACAGGGGACCAGCAGTTAGCGTAATGGCTATGTCGCTGGACTCCCACGTAGTGGACCATGGTTCGCATCCCGGACCCGGTGGCTTAAAACTCACGCCAGGCGCGTGTGCGTGCATGCCCAAGATCCCGAGAGGAGAATGGAGAAGAAGGGATTGCGGCGTGGCCATCCCCCTGGGGGGTGATTTCTCGCTTTCTGTCTCTCTGTCTCTCTCTGTCTGGCGAGCGCACGTGCCCTATAGCAAAAAAAACCTCTCAAAAAAAAAAAAAAAAGGAAAAGAAAAAGAACACATACACAGGGCGGGCTGGTGGCTTGGTGGTTAAGGGCGCCCGACTCCCACATGGTCAACCATGGTTCCAGTCCTGGACCTGCTGGCTTGCATTCTCACTTTCTGTCACTCTCACTGTCTCTCTCTGGTCAAATGAAAATAAATAAATAAATAAGCTAATTCTTAAAAATAAATAAATAAATAAAATTTAAAAAGAACACACATACACACACACACACACACATCACTCCACACACATACATACACCACTCCCCACACACACACACAAGGGGTCTTCAGAAAGTTCATGAGGGGGACCAGCAGATGACGTAATGGTTATATTGCTGGACTCCCACATAGTCATTCGTGGTTTGAGTCCCAGACCTGGCGGCTTAAAATGCACACCAGGCACATGTGCGTGTGTGCTCAAAATCCAGAGAGGAGAATGGAGAAGGGATTGTGGCATGGCCATCCCCCCAAGGGTGATTTCTCTCTTTCTGTCTCTCTGGAGAGCGCATGTACCCTATAGCAAAAATCTCTCTAGAAAAAAATTTTTTAAAATTTCTTCATGGAAAGTGTATTATGAAAAAAACTATACCTGGGTCTCAAGAATATTTTGGCACCAAATAAACTTGTACTTTTTTTTTCGAAGTAGGGGTTTGTTATAGGGCGCATGTGCTTGCCAGAGGGAAACAGAGAGGGAAGGTGAGAAATCACCCCCGGGAGCTATGGCCATGCCGTCATCCCTTCTCCTCCCTTTTCCCCTCGACATTTTGGGCACTCATGTACCTGAGCCTGGCATGTTTTTAAACCACCAGGTCCAGGACTCGAACTATAACGTCTGCCATGTGGGATCCAACCCCTTAGCCACCATGCTACCTGCTGGCCCTCTGTGCCTTTTTTTGGTTGTTGTTGTTGGATTTTTTTGGAGAGGTTTTTGCTATAGGGTATGTGTGTTTGCCAGACAGACAGACAGAGATAGAGAGACAGAAAGCGAGAAATCACCCCCCAGGGGGGATGGTCACGCCGCAATCCCTTCTCCTCCATTCTCCTCTCGGGATCTTGGGCACGCACGCACACACGCCCAGTGTGAGTTTAAGCCACCAGATCCAGGACGCGAACCACGGTCGACTACATGGGAGTCCAGCAACATAGCCATTACGCTAACTGCTGGCCCTCTGTGCCTCTTTTTTTATTTTTTAAGTTTATTTCTCCCATGAGCCAGAGAGGGACAGCACCCCCAACAGGGTTCTGCCATTCCTCAGCCCAGCCTAGCCAGTCCATACCATGGACATGTGTATGCCCGGCATACTCAGGGAGGCCTCCAGACATCAGCCCCGGCCCGTCCCCTGTGACCGGCCTTGGAGAATGTTGCGCCACGGTCCAGCCCCTCATTGTGTCATTTTGTGATGAGCTTTGTTCTTTTTAACGGCTGTGTACTATTCCACAACATGAGTGTAGCACAGAAGTTCGAGTCCCGCCCTCCCTGTGAGAAAGTCTGGGTGGCTCGCCTGTCTGACTCGCTCCCTAAAGCCCCCATCAGGGTCCCAGCCACGGCAGTGCGAGTCTCCCACCCTCTCCCCAGGTCAGCGACTGGTGGGAAGAGTTCGTGTACCTGCGCTCCCGTAACTCGCTGATGGTGAACAGCAACTATTACATGATGGTGAGGAGGGGAGGGGTCTGGGGAAGAGGAGGGGTTCATGGCCCCCGGATCTAGGGCTGGAGTGCCTGGGTAAATGTGCCGTTAATGGGCACTGACTTGAATCTGGGCCACGGTCTGGGATTCCCCATCCTGCCCTCTTTCTGGGCCAAGATGTGTGTCTGGGGTCAGTGTCCCCATGAGGGACACAACAGCTGACCTTGGGCATTTTACTGTCCCCTCTGCTGGTCCCCAGGACTTCCTGTATGTCACACCCACGCCACTGCAGGCTGCTCGGGCTGGAAACGCGGTCCACGCCCTCCTGCTGTTTCGCCACCGCCTGAACCGCCAGGAGATCCCTCCAGTAAGAGGCCCCCGGCTGCGGACAAGGCGGGGGTCTGTGGCCGGGGTCACATGTGGCCGGAGGGCACCTCACTGGCCGCCGGTCTCTGGCAGACTTTGCTGATGGGAACGCGCCCTTTGTGCTCCGCCCAGTATGAGAAGATATTCAACTCCACGCGGGTTCCCGGGGCCCAGAGAGGTGAGGCTCCCCGTCCCTCCCCACTGACAGAAGCAGCACGATGGGGTGGCTGACACCGAGGTCTCACACCAGCCTGCCTGAGTTTGAATCCCAGCTCCCTCGCTCTCTAGCCGTGTGCTCAGGGACAAGTGAGAACCCTCCCTGAGCCTGAGTTTTTCTCCTCTCTAACATGGAATAATAGTGGTACGTTGGTGATGACTGTTAAAAAGGTGCTTTGGGACCAGCAGTTGGCGTAGTGGCTATGTCGCTGGACTCCCACGTTGTCGACTGCGGTTGGAGTCCTGGACCCGGCGGCTTAAACTCACGCCAGGCACATGTGTGTGCGTGCCCAAGATCCCGAGAGGAGAAGAGGAGAAGGGATTGCAGCGTGGCCATCCCCCCTGGGGAGTGATTTCTCGCTTTCTGTCTCTCTGTTTCTGTCTTTCTGGCGAGCACACGTGCCCTATAGCAAAAACCTCTCCAAAAAAAATAAAAAGTGCTTAGGAGACCGGCAGATGATGTAATGGTTATGTCATTAGGCTCCCATGGAGTCAACTGCGGTTCAAGTCTCAGACCTGACAGTTTAAAACTTGCTGGGTGTGGGAACCAGCAGTTAGCGTAATGGCTATGTCACTGGACTCCCATGTAGTCGACCGCGGTTTGCGTCCCGGACCTGGTGGCTTAAAACTCATGCCGGGCGCATGTGCGTGCGTGCCCAAGATCCCGAGAGGAGAATAGAGGAGAAGAGATTGCGGCGTGGCCATCCCCCCGGGGATGGGTGGGCGCAGGGCGAGGCGGGCTCAGGGCATCCCACCTGCAGGGACACGTGGGCCCAGGTGCGGAGGTCCATGAAATCCCAGGCAGCCGAGGCCCTGGAAGCTGTGGAGGGGGCTGCTTTCTTCGTCTCCCTGTCTCTCTCTGTCTCTCTGGTGAGCGCACGTGCCCTATAGCGAAAAAAACCTCTCCAAAAAAAAAAAAACAAAAAACTTGCTGGGTGTGTGTACATGCCCAAAGTCCCCAGGAGAATGGAGCAGAAGGGACCATGGTGTGACCACTCCCCTTGGGGGATGATTTCTTGCTTTCTGTCTCTCTGTCTTTCCAGCCAATGCACACATCCTATAGCAAAAATCTCTCTAAAAAAAAAGTTGCGGGCGGGCGGGTGGCCTGGTGGTTAAGGGCACTGGACTCCCATGTGCCGATCATGGTTGGAGGCCCAGGCCTGGCACTGGCTTTCTCACTTTCTCTCTCTCTTTCTCACTCTGCCCCTCTCTGGTCAAATTAAAATAAATAAAGTTAAATAAAATAATTCTGTAAAAAAAAAGTTTCTTAGAACAGTTCAAGGCACGTAGGAAATGCTTAATAAGTGGTCGTTTTTCTTATTCTTACGTGTCTGGCCTTCCTCGCCCACGTCTCTGGTCGGCGACCCCAGACTACATCCGCCACCTCCGGGACAGCCGGCACGTGGCTGTCTTCCACCGGGGCCGATTCTTCCGCGTGGGGACCCACTCCCGAAATGGCCTGCTTCCCCCGAGGGCCCTGGAGCAACAGTTTCAGCGAATCCTGGACGACCCCTCGCCCGCCTGCCCGCAGGAGGAGCATCTGGCTGCTCTGACCGCTGCTCCCAGGTGAGGGTCCGGGGTCGGGGTCCGGGGTTGAGGTCAGCCCTGCCGAGGTTGCCAAAGGGTGGAGGTTGTGCGGAGTCCGGGTGGGCGCAGGGCGAGGGGCTCAGGGCATCCCACCTGCAGGGACACGTGGGCCCAGGTGCGGAGGTCCATGAAATCCCAGGCAGCCGAGGCCCTGGAAGCTGTGGTGTGGCCATCCCCCCTGGCGGGGGATTTCTTC